CACACACACACACACACACACACACACACACACACACACACACACACACACACACGCAAGTTCTCATAATTCAAACTTTGTTGGGACTTTAAATTGACTTCCATTCATTTTTCATTAATTTCTATAGCCTAACCCTGACCCTTACCCTAAGCCTAAACCTTAATTCCCCAAATAGACTCATCCTTACGGAGACCAGGCTTTGGTCCCCACAATGTAGGATTTTTTTTTTTTTTGCAAGAATTTTTTATTAAATTTTTTTAATTTAATTTAATTTAATTTAATTTTTTAAGTCCCGGTACCATCAACATCAAAATTTGGGTGGAAAAAGTGAAACACCCACACCTGCTTCCACCCTCATTTGCCCCACTCTGTGCCCCTGATCAAGGCCCTTAAGCCCCACCATTTGCTCCCCAAAAAAACAGTCTCTCTTAAAAATAAGTTATCGTGACTCAACGAGACTACCTGTATAAATAAAGGGTAAATAAATTAAAAATAAATAAATTTGTATTTATTTATTTGGATCCCCATTAGCCACTGCCATAACAATGGCTACTCTTCCTGGGGTCCACATCATTAAAAAAATTGGTCCCCACAATGTAACCTGAAACACAAACACACACATGCGTGCACACACACACACACACACACACATGCAGGATGGATACAAACTCAGTTAATGTATAGTTTTAGAATATTCATGTGAGCAAACATTACCGAAATTCAAGTCTTTTCATTCGAGGTTAAGTGCTTGCTCTTTGTAAATGGTACATATGTATTACATAATCAGAAATCTTCAGATTGAATCACTCTGCATCGTGATTAAATATGCCTTGGGAATAAGCTGATTAGATCTCTGATTAATCATCACTCGCTTCATTAGGAGGCTGAGAATATGTATGATGAGTGTCTGTGTTTGTTTCCAAGTGTCTGAGCAGATCTGTCAGTTAGTTACAGATTTAACAAAGACCTGAAGAGAAGAGGTTTTACAATCTACCTGTGTCATTAATCTCACCTGTCTAATCCTTTTACCTCACCTCCATTCAGAAGAACACTGTTGACTGAGTCTTTCCAGATATAAATAAGAGCATGACAAAACATGCATTAAAAACAATGCACCCAACATTAGGAGGCAAATAATTTGATCCCACCCAGATTACAAAAGCTTACTAAAATGATTCACAAAGAAATATATACCCATCTGGTTATTTTTTTAAGTGAGCATTCAAATTTTTAGCAAACAAAAGAATGCTTAATTGCTAATTCCTAAAACCCCTTACAGTTGGCTGAATGGACTAAGAATAATCAATTAAGACTGTTTCATATTAATGAACTGCTAATTTAAAAAGTTCTTTTTTCCACTTCAGTCTCAAATCAGTGAACCAAAAAACACAATGGCCACAAACTGCCCAAGCTGCAGATGTACCCTATATTCAATATTTATTTTTAGAGTTTCATTAAAATCTGTCCTCTGGTTCATTGGATCTTTTGCTAACGCTGCATAAAGACAGAACACACACACAAGTAAAAACATTATTACCTCACCTTTGATGGTGGGCGATAATTAAAGTTGCAGCATTCAGAGGTGAATAAATCTAAACAAATGTTTTCTTCCTTAACTCGATAAATATGACAACATACAGTGTAAAGTGCTGCTGAAAACACAGCTGGACCAAGCTGTAACTCATCCATCCATTATCTTTACCTGTTTCTTCCTGTTTGGGTCAAGGGGGTCACCCACGCATGCACAGAGAGAACACGCAAGTTCCACCTAGAAATGCCCCCAGCCAGGATTTGATCCAGCAACTTCCTTGCTGACAAGCAGCAGCTTTACCAACTGCACCACCGTGCCATCTGAGCTGTAATTCAAAGAATGAAAAATACAATTTTCAGTAAAACTAATTTGGTTTAAATTTCACTTACAATAACCAGAGCAGCTATAATCATAATGTAGGGTCAAATACGTTCCTCTAAATCTGCATAAATGTTGTTGAGGACTGCAGACCTCGTCAAGTTTCTACATTTAGTTGTATTTTTTTTATTATATGTAGCTTTCAGGCTAAGTTGCTCGCTGCCAAAGAGACCTCACTTTGGGGAGGTGTCAGTGCTGGACCTGCTCCCTGGAGGTGTTGCCCACTTTCACTGCCACATGGGTTACCATCTGCAAGGGGAGCCGGAGCTCACCTGTCTCAACGCCTCCCTGCCGATTTGGAGCGGCAAGGAGCCCACCTGCAGGGGTGAGCACGCACGTGTGTGTGTGTGCAATGTATAATCAAAAATATGTTAAACCTCAGGCTCTTTAAAGATCCCCCTTAATGTTAACATCCAGCTTGTCTCTGTAGCTCTTTGTGGAGGCACAGTGAAGAATGCAACAGTAGGGAGGGTGCTGTCCCCGTCCCCCCACCATGGCCCTAACGCCAGCCTGGACCGATCCTGCTCCTGGTCCCTTGAAGCACCCAAAGACCAAAGACTGCACCTGCACCTGGAGAGACTGTCCTTGGGGCCAACAGACAGGTAGAGACACATATTTATGCCTTTGTTTGTGTGTCTCATGGATTAGTGGAACACGTTGACTCAAGTCTTGGCTGGGGGGGTCAAAGAGTTCTGACTTGGAAGAGAGATTTGAATAAATACAAAACCGCAAGTAGAAAACAAGATTAATGGCTGCAACAACAACAGAATGTTGTACGAATGGGCAGAGCTTGCCTCCACACAGAAACAGCAATTTATAATCCCCAAAGCCTTTTTTTTTGCAAGGGTGGCATTTTTTTTCCATTTGTTTGTTTTTTTAAATGACCTTTGATTAACCTGACCATTTTGGCCTATGATGATTTTGAAAACAGTAATGTCATGATCCCACCTCCTGCTTATTCTATGACCCCAAGTGTAATACTGCTTTGCTGTTGCTGTTGCTGTTCTAGACTTCCATTATTTACTTTTCTTTCTTAGTCCACAGATTACCATATTTTTCGCTGTATAAGTTGCACCTTTTTGCTTAAATTTGCAAGTCCTGTGATTTATACACTGAAGCAACTAATATATATATTTTCCCCATATTTATAGCCAAATTTTTGGCTGAGATCTGACGATTTCATTCATTCTGACATGGAAAATATTGAACACTACCATTTTCAGCCACTAGAGGGCCCTCGACTAATATGGCAAACCAAGTGTCTCATTAATAGGTAAAAGGTGGCTATTAATGAGAAACTTGGCTTGCCATACAAAGCCACCTTCGTCTAGCACCAGAACTCCTGGAGTAAATGTCAAATCAGCTTCATTTTGTTGCGCCGCCCAAGAGAAATGCAGCTGATTTGACCATTAAAGTGCATTTATTAAGGAAAAGTTTAACTGAGACACTCCTTTGCTATAATTTAAAGCAAACAAATAATTGCTGTTAAGGGTTAATCTTGTTAAATTCTTGTTAAAGTCCTCCCGTGCATGCTCCCGTGGCCGCCATTTGGCAGCCGATCGATTTTTGGCACAACACCGGCCCACAATTCCGGGTTGTCAGCGGTGAAGCTTAATAGATGTGACTTATACGGCAAAGTGTTATGTTTTTTTTCCAATTTATTAGACATATTTGGACTGATGCAACTGATGTAACTTGTACGGCAGAAAGTACGGTACTTTTTTATTGATTGATGCATCTAAACAACTTGTTTTTCTCCAAAAACAATATCCCTCATTTTTATTTTAGTTCATTTTTATTTTAACAATCAACTTTGGCATTTATAGTATATCACAAAATAAACTGTAAACAATGACTGGCAAATTCAAGTACAAAATATAAATTTAAAGTTCAAACTATAGCATGACAGACACATTTTATGTTTTTATAATTTATGCATTTAAAAGTGAAAAGTCTTAATTATCAGCATGGTTTGTCTTTTTTTCATTTAACCTTTATTTATAGAGGTAGTTTCATTGAGCCATGAGAACTCATTTTCAAGAGAGACCTGTTTGGGGAGCAGATGGGGGGTTAAGGGCCTTGCTCATGGGCCCAGGGTGGGGCGAATGAGGGTTGGGGCAAATGTGGGTGCTTTACCTACCCCACCCACAATTTTGATGTTGTTGGTACCGGGGCGTGAACTGGCAATCTTCCGATCACAGGCCCACCTCTCTAGCCTCTGCGCCACCACTCCCCCTATATGTTGTTTGAATACTGATGATGATTAAAGTTGATGAAGTGATGATTGAAGTTTACAATGAGAAACTAGGAATTTGCATGACTTTATCAGAATGAGGAAGGAAACAAATACAGCACAGAGATTAAAAGTGTAAAATTGGAGACTGTAACATTGCCAAATGTTTAAAGTTTTACAAGATTCTTAACTGCACAAGTCAAACTGATCTATATCACTTATTGCTGCTCTTCATCCATCCATCCATTATCTTTACCCGTTTATTCCATTTTTGGGTCACGGGGGTCGCTGGTGCCCATGTCCAGCAATCACTGTGCGAGGGGCGGGGTACACCCTGGACAGGTCGCAAGTCCATCACAGGGCCACATAGAGACAAACGAGACAAACAACCATTCACTCTCTCACTCACACCTAGGGACAATTTAGAGTTACCAATCAGCCTAACATGCATGTTTTTGGTCTGTGGGAGGAAACCGGAGTACCCAGAGAAAATCCACGCATGCACGGAGAGAACATGCAAACTCCACCCAGAAGGCACCTGGACCGGGGTTTGAACCAGGGACCTGTTCGCTGAGAGGCAGCAGCTCTACCAGTTGTGCCACCGTGCTGCCCTGCTGCTCTTCAATCAAGAAATATTAATACATTTTTGTAGAAATATAGTATACTTCACTCTTTAAATCCATTTTAACATGAATCTCCATTAAGTGGAGCCAGCTGTGACCACAGACTATTACGTTTATACCTGGCTGAAACTTTTCACAATACTTACGTTCAAGCAGACATTTTTGCATCCCTGCAGGCTGGTGCTGTGGAGCGGTCTGGACGCTGGCTCCGTGGTGTTGTTCGACTCGGGTCGGGGTGGACAGATCCCGTTCGAGGGAGTGATCAGTGAGGGTCCAGCTGTAAGGATCCAGTTCATCACTGAGCAGCCAAACCACAACACGGGCTTCAACATTCGCTATGAAGGTAGAGTGCAGGTCAAAACTAACTCACTACGAAGGCCTAGCAATCCTTGAAGGAATGCTCATCTCCCACCGCTTTTAATGTTGCTATTGAGATAATTGTTTGTTGAGAAATGTAGGCAATGTAGCTGTTTGGGTCAAACCAAACAATGCAAAAAATGTTATACGCCATCGTGTGGCTTATTATGAGATGCTATGTTCAGAGTATGCGGTGTGAATGATTTTCATTTACCATCATATCAAACTTTAATTTAATTCAATTCAATTCAGTTTATTTATATAGCACCAAATCACAAGAAAGTTGTCTCAGGGCACTTTACAGGAATATTCACATACATAAAAGCCAATTAGTAAAGTTCTCTATCTAAGGAATCCAGCAGACAAGTTGAATCTTGGCTTTGTTGCAGTCTCCCATCCTGAGCAAGCACAGTTGCAACAGTGGAAAGGAAAAACTCCCTTTTAAAAAGACGAAACCTCCAACAGAGCCAGGCTCAGGACAAGCGGACATCTGCTTTGACCGGCTGGTTGAGAGGACAAGAAGGAGAGACAGACGAATATAGGATGGTAGGTCCAGGTATAGGTCCAGGTGTATCTGAAAGACAAAAAAACACGTTAAGGATAGAAAAAATAATTACAAAATACAAAACAGGTTGAGCAGAGTAAATAAAGAGCTCATTGTCTGTAAATTTAGTTGAGTTACAGCCATTTTTGACTTGTCTAATATCATTGTTCCCTGTCAATATGTACAAACACACACACAAATGTATATACTGTATGTATGTATATACCCATCCGTCCATTATCTTTACCCGCTTATTCCATTTTTGGGTCACGGGGGTCACCGGAGCCCTCGTCCAGCAATCACTGCGTGAGGGGCGGGGTACACCCTGGACGGGTTGCAAGTCCATCACAGGGCCACATAGAGACAAACGAGACAAACAACCCTTCACTCTCTCACTCACACCTAGGGGAAATTTAGAGTTACCAATCAGCCTAACATGCATGTTTTTGGTCTGTGGGACAAAACCGGAGCACCCGGAGAAAACCCACGCATGCACGGAGAGAACATGCAAACTCCACCCAGAAAGGTCCCAGGACCGGGTTTTGAACCAAGGACCTGCTCACTGAGAGGCAGCAGCTCGGCGAGGTTGTACAATAATAATCACTTTGATAATCAAAAATAAATAGCTGACGTGGCAACAAAACTCACAAACAGGATCAGGTCAGGATTATATATGGAACACAGGAGACAAACCAGGAGCTGTACCAGACGATGCACCGACAAACACTGAGACCCAGACCAGGGCTTATATACACACAAGTCAAGTCACATTTATTTATATAGCACATTTAAAACAGTAACTGTTATCAAAGTGCTTAACAAAAAAGATCTCAGCATCAAATATTAATAACATATTACAGCAACATGAATAAAAGCATAAAAACATGAAATATAATGAGAAACAATGAAATACAAAATCAAATCACCCTGTGTTAAATGTCAGGGAGTAAAAGCAAAATGGATGAACACAATCATCAACAATGAAATACCAAATGAGATCACACTGTGTTAAATGCCAATGAGTACAGATGTGTTTTGAGGAGAGATTTAAATATAGAGACTGAGGTGGCCTGTCGAATGTTGATGGGCAGATATTCCAGAATTTAGGGCCCATGACTGAAAATGCCCGATCTCCTCTGAGCTTCAGCCTGGTTTTTGGTACGGCCAAAAACAGCTGGTCTGATGATCTCAAGGCCCGAGAATGAGTATAAGGATGAAGGAGGTCGGAGAGGTATGAGGGTGCAAGGCCATTAACACACTTAAATGTCAGTAGAAGAATCTTAAAATCAACTCTGACACACACAGGAAGCCAGTGAAGAGAGGACAGAACTGGAGTAATGTGCTCAAACCTGCGAGTTCCTGTTAGTAGCCGAGCTGCAGCATTTTGGACAAGCTGGAGACGTGAGAGAGAGACCTGACTGACCCCAGCATAAAGCGAGTTACAGTAGTCTAGCCGGGTTGTAATAAATGCATGGACTAATTTTTCAAGGTCGGATCTGGACAGGACGGACTTGAGCTTAGCTATCTGCCTCAGCTGAAAGAAGCTTTTTTGAAAAACAGAATTTATCTGCTTATTAAACTAAAAGTCCGAGTCTAAAATTATCCCGAGATTGGTAACAGACTGTTTTAGATATGGCTGAAGGGAGTCCAGGTTTGCAGTATCAGTGACAGTGGCAGAGCTAGGGTTAAACACAATGACCTCAGTCTTCTGATCATTAAAACTCAAAAAGTTCACAGCCATTCAGGTCTTGATGTCATCAAGACACTTTAACAAAGGGCAAATGGAGGAGGAACTGTTAGGTGTTAACGGCAGATAAATCTGAGAGTCATCAGCATAACAATGAAAGGAAAGACCATGTTTCCTCAGGATAGACCCTAAGGGGAGGAGATACAAAGAAAACAGAAGGGGTCCAAGAATGGAGCCTTGTGGGACCCCACAGGAAAGAGACATTGAAGTAGATAGAGTGTTAGCAAAATTAGCACAGAAACTCTTGTCGCTCAGGTATGAATGGAACCATTCTAATGCTGCACCAGTAATCCCAACCCAGTGTTCTAGCTGGGATAAAAGGACACTGTGGTCCACAGTATCAAATGCAGCGGTAAGGTCAAGGAGTACCAGGACTACAGACTGACCAGAGTCATTTGCCAGAAGAATGTCGTTGCAGACCCTAACTAAGGCTGTTTTGGTGCTGTGTAGTTTCTTAAAGCCAGACTGAAAGATCTCAAGAATAGAATTTCCAGTCAAGAACTCATTTAATTGAGTGAAAACTATTTTCTCCAGGATCTTAGAAAGAAAGGGAAGTTTGGAGATGGGTCTGAAGTTTGAGCAGGTTGAAGGGTCAAGTCCGGGATTTTTTTATTAAAGGAGTTACCACTGCATGTTTAAAAGTGTCAGGAACTACACCTGTAGCCATACTGCTGTTTATAATGTCAAGAACAGAGGGTCCAATGGAGGGTAGGACTTGTTTAAAAAACGATGCAGGGATGGGGTCAGCAGGGGAACCTGAGGGCTTCATATGACCAATGACGTCAGAATCAGAATCAGTTTATTATTGCCATGTCAATAAATGAGGTTCACAAACTAGGAATTTGCTTTGACATAAGGTGTGAATAGTAATAAAGTAAAATAAAGTAAAAATGAAATATTACATATGTAGTGAACTAGGCCTCTGACCTCAACCTGTCTCTGAAGACCTTCAGGGGACAGGAACTGCTATTTCATTGATTTGAATCCCGAAATACAAGTTATCTCATCAAGAGACTATTTAATTGTATCCTGAATTAATCAATTGAAAGAACACTCTTCCTTTTTACATTATCATTACTATTTTAGAATATCTTGATAATCAAATGTGTGTTTAGTTCATACCATTTCTAAATGTTGAAGTGAACCACTCATTTAAATCAACTGTGAAACAGTATTAATGATTTTTAAACCTCATTAGACTTTGATAATACAGTTAAGTGTCTATTTACGAAGTAAGTGTGCATTTTAGTCTTCTGTCTGAATGAGGAGTAGTGATGTTGGTCGAAAGTCAGAGACAAACAGAGATGAGTTATTAGAACAAAGTGTCTTGTTTTAAAACAAGCAGACAGTAAATAACTTCAACTTGCACCTGCGTTTGGCTCACATCGTCATAAAATTTTTCTGTCTGTACTAACCGTTCGTAAACATTCCTGCTGTCTCTTGACTCCTAGTGACACCTATTGACATCACTAGAACCACCCCCCTGCTGGTTGTTTCAACCAATCAGGAAGTACCACGTAACAGGAAGTGTATACCCCTTTAAAAGGAACACTTCGTGGAACTATTCAGTTCAGTGCTGGAAGCTCAGTCCTGGAGTTCGATGCTGGAAGTTGGATCCTGGAGTTCAGTCCTGAAGTGCAGTCCTGGAGTTCAGTGCTGGAACTCAGTCGGAGTCTTAAGTCTTAGGGCTAAGTCTTCAGAACTTGGAGCGGATGGATGGGACCGTGTGCCAAGTGGTCCCTCCATTTAGCGGAGTCACGGCTCGCATCGCTGTGCACTCAACCGGAGCAGTAAATGCTCCACTTCTAAGGAAGCTTATTCGGTGGAACCGAATACCTCATGAGTATATGCATTTATTCTAAAGATTCCCAGCTACTTTAACCGGAGACGCTGTAAAGGGATCGTACTAATGGACTTCTGTTCCAGAGTGGAGGTATCCCCATCTAAGGTAACAAAGTCTCTGCACGTCCTGAAGTGTACCGGAAAGCTGAGCAGGGTGTCGGAGGAAAGGTGCAAAGTTCTGGTTTCACACATAGCTTCCATCTAAACCTCCTTTTAAATTTTCACTTCTATTTCCCCTCTTTAACTTTTCTATTTGCCAGTAATCTAGATGCCTTCAGAGGTGAATCAGCCTCGATCAGTAATGTTCTGTTGTCTTGTTAGTAAAGCGTGCCAAGTTTTTATTAATCAGAAACAGATCAGCAAATCAATGTGTACATGTTTTGATGTTAAATTTTGATTCTGTTAAATAAATGACCACATTTATTCTGATGGGTCAAAGATAAAATGGCGTCTCATGTCACTGATTAAACAATCCACTCACAGTTATCTCGGTCACATGGCAGGAGTTTAACTCGAAAAAGAAAATAATCTGTTGTAATTAACAATTAATATTCTTTGTGCTTGAACTAGCTTTAAGAATAATTAATTAGTCGTGTGTCTACAGCAAAGCTGTCCTATCATACTACACATAAGACATAAGACCTGTGTACACCCATAAATAAAGTAAAAATGAAAACATTACATAAAACATGTGTACACCCATACAATAGAAAACAATAAAAAAGCTTAGAAAAACAGTACAAATGGAGTATTCAATTATAATACAGATGTAATGTGACCAAAGCAGAAATTATGAGATAACAGCAGAGGGGAAGAAACTGTTTTTATGGCGGGAGGTTCTGGTCTGAATGGA